AACATTTATGAGGTTATCATCATGTGTATTTGCCACTTATTTTATGATAATCTGTGAAGTGTATTAGTTTAGTTGATCAGCATTTCATTGATTCAACATCCGGACTAGCATCTTTAGACTTGGATCAATGTTGGGCCAGCAACTCTTGCTTCCTTCTAGGATAATAGAACGTCATCATTTGTTGTTAACAATGATTTCTTAAGTTGATTCAGTAAATATTTATTTATTTACTTTATATTAAAACAAGTGGGTGTAGAAGTCATGATGTTTCTGATGTCTTTCATTCTTTTTGCTTACTCTATAGATCCACAAACATTCTAAGATGAATCTGTATTTTATTCTTTTTTGTTTATTTATTTTAATCAAATTATTTCTTTTAATAACGTTCTAGAATCTCGTTATAAAAGACTGACTATTTTCTATTTAGCTCACTTCTACACGAAAATTAATTAGGAGAAAAAACATGGAGCGTAACAACGTCTTGAGGTAAAAATACCTTTTGATAATTCTTCTAGCGGAAAATATTTTATATTAAAAAAAAACTTGGGATTATTTTTATATTAGCGTTCAAGATGACTTTTCATTAAATTGAAAAATTACGTCGAACTTTCTTGGTATGTTTAAACTTAACAAGTGTTGTTATATCTTGACATCCTAATTTTGAGCAAATATTTTAAAAATTAAATTGGTGACCAACTTTTAAAGTTAAAAACAAAATAAATGAATTTCTTCAAGTGGTGATAATTTTATTACCAGGATGAGTATCAATGATAATTTAAACTAAGTAGGAAAACAATGAGCATTTAATCTTAGAAATGGATTATATTGGTGTATTCACACGTAAGTAGCTCAAGGGGTTAATTTATCCATTTGGTGAATCTGATCAAAGAGAGGGTTCTTGAGTCACAAGTGTCCTCTACACTGTGCCAAAATAGGTACACGGACAATTTCTCTTCTCCATTTTCCTTCATTACACACTCGACTCACTTTCCTTTCTCTTTCTCACCCTTCTACACTTCAGTTCTCTTTCTATTATACACTGAGGTAGTCACCCTGAAGCTCTAGTTTTGGAACGCTTACCTCTCTTGTCCTCAAGAGTTGAACGCATGCAACAGCCTGTTAGTGTTCTAGTATACCCAATTTGCATCAGTGCTTTAAATAAGCGCATGATCAGCACCTAGATCTGTAGATAATCCTTGACTGCACAATACGTTTGTGTGTACAATCTTAAAGCACTTGCCAGTTTGAGATTCTCCAGTATCAAATAAGCTACTTTATCTTTCATTAATGCTTGAAATTTTAATACAATTATAATACTACTTTATTATTCTTTTCTCATTAACTAATTAAGTGGCAACTTCATTTAGGTCTATCATTAACATTTTCTAGTTTTCATAAATTAGATAGAGAATAATTAAATTAACTAAACCTTGTCATTAGACCTCTCATTTTCTCAATCTATCTTACTCTCTCTTGGGACATGTTCAACTTCAGAAATTCATCTGGTGGCTGGCCAGTACAGGTCATATGATACCCTTTGCATTAAATTATACATGCGTTTATCAATCGTTAACATACATCAATACATACATGTTACAAATACTATCACATGATAAATAAACAACCTAATTATCTTTTTTGTTGATATTTTTATTTCTTAAAAAAAAGCTTGGTTGAAAAAACTTGATGGGGAAATTTTGTACAAGTATGAAGATAAGCACAGCAATTAGCAGTAGGGTCTAGATTATTGATTATTGGATGCAGAATGTTAGATACAGAATAACAACTCAGTTTGACAGTTTCTCGTAATAGCAGCAATATAACTCTGTTTATTTATGATATGAGTAAATATTTACAACAGAAAATACCAATCTATAGTTGGACTCTAGAGTTGTAGAGGCGATTTTTCGTTGGAAGCATGATGAGTAGGAATGAAGGAATGGGTTTATAAGTAACAAAGGAATAGAAAAAGCTAGAGGAAATAGAGAAGTTGGGTGTTGGAAAATAAGAGTAATTAACTAAGAGTCAAATGTTTAATATCCTAGTAGAAGACAAGACTGATCTTGGAACGAGGTTGATTAGACTCTTGGTTAGCATTTGAAATCTAGCTTTATTCTGGAGTCCTGAACATGGTCCACTTAATTTATATAATGAGTAGTTCTAGGGTAATAATGAAGCACTAGTGTAGTACTTAGCCATTGTTCAAATTTATTTTGTGCTAATTTTTCATTTCTATGAATTTTTGTTGATTTATTATTATTTAAAAAAAAAATACGTGCACCGTTTGATACCTTTTTTTTTATCCATCCTCGATATAATACGACTGAATTAAATGCCATTGATGTTCATTATCGTTTCCACTAGTAATTTAGATGAAGCAAACTATATGTAAAAAAAAGTACATGCTGAGAGTTTCCACTTGTTGTTTTCATGATGCAGGAAAAACGGCTTATACAAACGTCAATGGTCCACTTATCCACATGTTTACACTAAAAAACTTTTTTTTTCTGTTTACTCGTATTGTAAAAATACTGGTTCCATTACCGTAACCTGGAATATTGCCATAATTCTACAACTTTTATTCCAATGTACTTTACCAATCTAGGTTTATGATATAACCCATGATATTAATTTATAATTAAATTCAATACATCTTATAAGATTATAACTGAATTATATGTAATTCAACCTCAACATTGGTATAAAACCGATCTAGTTACAATGTTAATTTCCATAATTTAATAGAATTGGAATTAAAATCATTTATACTCAAGCTGTATATCCATGTACAGGGATTTTTGGGATTAGTAATTACAATAGAATATTTTTTAAAATACCATACATCGATTTAAATCTAAATATCGAGGATAACAAAACATTTATTCTCTCGCAGTAGGTACAATTTGCATCAGTGTAAACCGTAAAACCACACGTTCGTTCGGGCGTTACAGAGATATCCTCTGGACTAAATAAGCTTCCCAGCAATTATAAATACACTAGAACGTGCGTCGAGTTCGAATCGAATTTTGTATTTTACTCGTTGCGCTTGATCGACGAACCGTGACTTCCTGCTTTCACCCAATGCACGAGCAATATATACATATAACACCCTCGTGTTTGCACACAACGAAAATATTCACCTGATACGTTTACAGAATTTTGGTGAGAGTGCCAGTGCCAAGGTGTACGTGAGTAACCAATACAGAGATACCGAACGGAGGAAGCGACATGACGGTACCCCCTTTCCATGTGCCCCACTAGCCACTAATTCGTATTTAAAGCTTTATCGGACGTACCCGTACCCCTGTGCAACAATTTCACGGTTCACAAGAGCTTACTCTGCTCATACTGCGTCCCCAAGCTCTTCTCTCTGATCAGTTTAAAATTCCCATCAAGGTATACTACGCATCACTAGCAGGTGTCTATGAGCTTTTTACTTTTCGATTTTCTGCATTTACCGATTTAATGTTTTTAAATACGAAGGAGATCGCTGAGTGACGATAGGAAGAGTTTTAAAAACTTTTTCGTATTTTTTTAAACTTGACTCTTCTTTTTTAAGTTTTCATTAAAAAGTTATGGTAATGGAATCGATTTTTGAGATTCATAATTTTATCATTTCTTTACGTTTTAAGACATATAAAAGCATATTAAAAGGAGTTTAAACAAATTCGGTTCAGTCGTTTTTTTTTATTAACAAAAAGACTGTTAAATTAGTTGAGTAATTAGAAAATTTGATATTAAATGATATGTTTATTATTTGATTTAAATAATTGGAGAATTTTTATTGCTAAAAGATTTAATAGTTTTTTTTTTCTAACTCAAATTGATGAAAGGTATTTTGTTATCAGTTTATTTGAATTCTGATTGATGGAGAGCTTTTTGGAGTCAGATGCTCTTCAAGAGTCAAATTTATTTATTTGACAGTTTGTAAACATTGAAACATGCACTCAAAAAAATCCCTAGCTATTTCAGCTAGAAAACATCTACTATCAAGCTGTAGTTGATGCTTTCTAATAGGGTGATAACATGTAATGGTAACGGTTTCTATTTTTCTTAGTGGATACACTGGAGATTCAAATGTGGTGTAATAGAAAACACACCACAAGTAGCTCGAATAGAAAAAGTTGTAAATAAATTATAAATAATTTTTATATTAATTAAAGTTTTTCTTTTACTTCTTATTTAACAGCTGTTGCATTCAAGTTGTTTGATAGATTTTAAAGAAATAAATAAAAAATCATTTCTATCTTTACTACCAATATGCGAATACCAAACTACCTTAAATCTTCCTTAAATTTAGCAATTCAAAAACATAATACATCATCCACCTAATATTTTTATCTGCATAATGCTAATTTATATTTACTTTCCCTCAAAGTCTCTCATTATTCCAAAGTCATTCTCTAAAATATCCTTTTATGTGAATTGTTCCTGTGCACGCTGTACTGCCTAGCCACACTTTGTTTCCTCTAGATGCAATTTTAATCTCGAATTCCGAGAAAATTACCTTTCCGTCAGACCTCCTTAAGCGGCTACTAGACGAGATTGCTTTGGAGAACTGTCGTGGAGCTTGATGTATAAAAGTGCGACATGTCCAATTTTTCACTAAGAAAAAAAAAAATCTTTTGATTCGTTTTATTCTTACCTACCTTGTTCACGTCACCTCGACTGAATATTTCCAAATGTCTTGCATTTTTTTGGTGTCTTCTTAACAGAAAATTCAAGGATATAAGGACTCTTTTTATGTTCATTTACCAAAGATGTTAATTTCTTTCAACTAAAGATAGTTATTCAAATATAAATATCAGCCTAGTATTAATTAAGTCTAAAGAATAATTAGGTAATGAGGAGTATAATTGGTCCAGTAAAAAGTACATATTAATAATAATACTGATAATTAATAAATAATCATGTTCTGCACATTCAATCCAGTTTGATACATTTCATTGTTGATTTATGAATGGATGAAGGAATAAATATTGTGATAATATGCTAGCATATAACGATAATCATTTGTTTTATTATTGATATACAAGATATACATTATGGGGTAGGCTCGGCGCCATTGTGGCATTGATTACAAGCACGCAGTGCTCAGATATGTCTTTATTTTTATTAAATATTTATATATATTTTTTATTTATTTTTTTCCTTTTTTTTTTTTATACTAACATTCATTCTATTTTTTATCAAATGTACATTTGTGTATCAAAACAGTCAGCTGCTTCTTTAAAATTAAATTCACTGGCCGTTAGAGTTAGAAAGATGTCATTTTAACACTTGAACTGTTCAAGAACTGGCTTTTGAACTGTCGCTACAAAATGATAAGTTTTTGCTGGGAAAGAGATACTCTCCCTTGAGAAAAATAAATAACAAATAGCAAATCCCTTAAGGGACCGCTTCAGTCGACATTAGCAGATGGTCTTGTCTGCTTGGCAGATACCATCAGGTCTCGCGAGAAACAACTTGCCATTAGCACAAACACACAGTTGGTAAATGTTTGATTCCCTCTGGTCAGTGGATGATCTGTCATTTCTTGGAATCTGTTGCTGTTCTCTAGATTGATGCTTTTGAACAAATGCCCCTATTTTTAGATCCTTGAGGAAGACTGATTCTGCATCGAGTCGTATTACTCCTTCGATGCTTTGAAGAGTGAGGTCTGATAAACAGGAGGCAAAAATTTCTCCTGCTCGCGATTCTATCACAACACGCTCTGGTGCTTTTATTTCTAGTGATCGTGTTGCTGACTCCAACCTGTTGAAAATACAAGATTAGGTTTAGTGACATTTTATGGTAATTAAATAGTCGATTAGTTTAGAATTAATTTTAACATGCAGTACAGTACATAGGAGACTTAATAGTTTTATATTTAGAAATGGTTTCATGATTAATGCATTTTTTGTAACATTTTAAAATATTTCCTGAAGTTGCTTGGGTATTTTTTTTTATTTGAATATACTAGGAGAAAATTTTATAGTAATTTTTATCAATTATTTTGAGTGTTTTAAAGGTAGATCATCTAAATGACTTTAATATTCCATGCATACATCTTCATAAAGTATTCTGGCTTCACAAACAGTCAATTTTAGTGTACAATAATTATAAAATCAGCAGAACTGCTGGTAAATTCCTTACATAAATATTTTATTTGAACAAATTGATGTATTTTAAAAGTTTAATAATTTTAATCCACTTTTTATTATTTAATATTAAATATTGAATATATTATTTATTATTTATTATTTAATACTAAAAGAAGTCATTAAATAACATTGTATAATTAATCAAAAAATGCGATAATAACAGGTATAATAAATTTTAAATACACTCAAATTCAAAAGATGATTGATGCTTGGATAATGATTACTTCAAATTTCATCAATATTTGTTTACAATAATGAAATTAATTATAATACTTCAATAATAACGGAAAATAAGTTTTAATAAACTGAACAATATAATAACTCAATTGATCTTGAAACAAAATTTAAAAAAATGTTTTAAACAAATAAAATGAATAGCAATCATTTTATTTATTATTATTTATGTCAAGCTATTTTTAATAATTTTTGTTTATGTCATTATAACAAAAAGTTATAAAGTTTATTAAAAATTCTTGTCAATTAAACACAGTTTAATAGGATCACACAAAGTATCCAGAATATTCCTCGACATTTTAATTAAACACTTCTAGGTAAAAGTTTTTGCTTGAATGAGATTGATACTTTTTACTTACAACAGATGGAATTTCGACATCAATTTTATGTAAAAGTTAACAAGTTTGAAATGTAAAGTTTGAATCTATAATTCTGTTTCAACTGCGTCTATCTCTAATATGTAAACCATGTTCAATTAAAGTAAAGTTTGTTATTTTAAGTAGAGTCTAAAACAGCACTCTAACCATTTTCTACTTGGTATCATTTTTGCATTGGTTTTGAATTAATTTTTTTAAAAACTTTATAACAAATATCATGAGGTCATAAAAGAGAAATTATCTTTTCTTTAATTTCAATTACTCCATGTAATTGCTAACATTTATTTAAACATTTCCTTCAAAGAACTTGATACCTCACATTTAGAGCAGAAAATAAAATAAAACTATCAACATTTAGAACCTTTTTGATCAAACTTCCAGGTATTAAGATCATTTATCATGAAAATTCAATCATGTGCCAGCATATTATATTGACAACATCATAAAATTTAAATTGAATGGATTAATATCTTTTGTTTACCAGAAAATTTTCAATAGTTCAATCTGACATTTAATTATTAATGTTTCATGTTCTGAATTGTAGTATATGAAGGAAGGTATAGCAAGCATTGAAAAAACAGTGTATGAATACCTAAAACAAAAGTGAGAAAGCGGAAAATGCAGTGGTGAGTTTGCTATTCTTTTGTGAGTAGCTTTGTGCCGATAGATGGAAGAAGCTGGATCGAGGGATTGGAAGGTATTACGATGCGTTGTTATTCCCTCTAGTCTGTTAGATGATAGAGAATGATGAAGAGAGGAAAGAAGATGACGGAATAGGAACTTTATCACTGGATAAGCCTAGAGCTGGATGCTCAAATCTTCGACTTGGCTTTCCTGTCTATTGGATTTTTCTTCACAACAGATGAGTTAAATAATTGAATAAAAACTCTAATATTTTTAACGTCATCTAATAATATCCATTATAGAAATTATTACAATATAAAATCAGATTTTTGAAGACATTGAAAATTATATTTTTATGGAGTAAATATTATTTGATGTTAAAGTTGATTAATCTTACTCAAGACTATGCCCAGCTTCTGCTCGTACTATTGGAGTCTGGACACTTCCACGAAAGACTGCACCTCCAGCACCAGTTACCTTCAGCATCGTTGCACCCACAACAACTTGTTCTCGGGTTGCAGAAAAAAGTACGCCACCTTGAGAGTCTGTTATATGGAAGGCTTTTGACATGCAATTGACGCTGTCTTCACCTTAAAATAGAAATGAAATTAATTGATTTTTGGTCAGAATGGTAATTTGATATATTTCTTAAAGAATTCAATGTTTTATATTGCTAGCCTAACGTTAGATCAAGGTTGAAGACGTTGATTCAATGCTGGACCAGTAGCACACTAATTTTACTTAACTTTGGAATGATCAGTTTGGTTTTAATTATTAAAGTAAAGCTGTTTCTAATCGAACTCTTTGACATTTTGATGGTAGCAGATAGCACCTTAATACAACCTAGAATTAATCTATTACAATAAGTTGGTTTAGAGTCAATAGGATGTCAGAAAGTTGGTTGGAAATGACTTGGCTTCAATAATTAAAAACAGATGGTTATATTAAAAATCATTTCATCAATTATAATTTTACTGGTATTGAGCAGTAATAATGTATTTGTACTGATAATTAGAATTGGTTTTATTTTATATCGATGAATTGAAACATAATTACTATTAAAGTTATCAGTCTAGACTTAATTAGTAATTGTTCAATAATTGCTTATCAATTCTTTCTATTGTTTGTATCTCTAAAAAGAGTGTAATATTACTTCGTTATCTTCTTAATCGTATAAAAAAAAAACTTACTGAGAGTAAATCGGGCTAGAAGTCGGCCATCACGAGCTCTAGCTGAGGCAGTGAAATTGTTCCATGATTCGAGTACGAGATTTCTTCCTTTTCTTGATCTTACACTTGAGGCAATAAGTGCGTCTAAGATTGCTGCTTGACCTTTGAGTTCTACACCACCTGGTACAATTTTTAACGAGCCCATTCCTTCCTGTAAAACAATTAATTCTTTTAGGAGTATTTTTATCAACAACTCTTGTTAAATGTACTTATTATACTCCAAGGATAATTCTCATAAACATCTTTTAGCTATTTATTTTATTTCATTTGTAATTCAATTATTATTAAAATTTTATTTCGTTTTAATTAAAACTGGTATTTAAAAAGATGATCAATTATTAATAATTGCACAATGAAAACTCTGATTACTATGAAATAACTGATTTAATTAATAGAGAGTTTTTTAGTCACAGTAAATTAAAAGTGTGCAAATATTTTTTGATAATTGTTTTTATTTTTCAATTATCCTGTATTCTATATTCTTGTGCTCTTTTAGAGAACAATAAGAATAATCACAATAGATAAATGAAACTATTTAACTGCATAATAAATATAATTTTACTAATTGAAATGTAGATAATTGAGTTGGATTTTTCGTTTACACAAATTGTTGATGGATATGAAGACAAATATTTGAGCAAGAAAATTAATTCCAATGCAAGTGTATATTTTAATTATTTTTTTTTCTCAAGGAAAAGATATATTCTAAATTCAGCAATTAGTATCATCTATTTCTTATCTTTCAGATTTTTATCTTCATCCATTTTCTTGTACACATGTTATATTTATTCCAATTATAATGCCTATTTATTCATTCAAGCATCTTTCATTGATCATAATAATTAAATTTACTTTGTCTGAATAAAGTTGTAGTGTAATTCAATTAAATATAAATTAATACCAATTAATAATCCATTAAAAACGTTAAAAAATTATGACTATGAAATATTTCTGTCTAATCTGTTATATCTTTTATGGGAATGAATTATCTATATACATTGATAGCTTTCAGGTGCTGGTTGATTATCGACTGAAGATAATAATACCAGAAATGAAGAATAAACCGAAAACAGTCACTTTAAAATTAGAAAGAGTCAAGTAGCTACTATTATAGTAAAAACAGCTAATTATAAACTTTAATTTTGATTCTTTACAATTTTAATGTTTCTTTTATCTTAATAATTAAAATCGTTGTTCATTTAAGACCAATAACTCATCGACAAAAGAATAGCAAGGTTTATTCTTGATTGCTTTTTCCTTGCTATCGATTGTTGTAGGATACAAGAAACGTTTGTGGAGTTTGTATTGGATTCCGATGATTACCCACTCGATCGGAAGCAATTGACACGTTACACACGAGTAAACTAACCCATTCTAGCAATATACAGTTTGCATTAGTATTAAGATTGCTGGTGGATGATGGAAAAGAGTTGATCATTTGTAACGTAAGGTTGGAAAGTGGGCAAAGTCTGACTGTATTTAACTTTTGAGACTTTACTTGAAAGTGCTTTCGTTTCTTGTCTGTACGACGAATAGTGTAAAGGATGTCTAACCGCTGTTCTACGATTAGCCAAATCGTTCAGAAAATTATACGGTCGTTCTATTGTACTTCAATGTGGCCACGATTCCATCGACTTAAGTATTAGAACGCTACTTCAATCGATTCTATTAAGAATTATATTGGGCACTTTTTATCATTAGAAGTAATTTTCTGAAATGAATTGAAATTGATTTTTTATCATTAATAATTTAATTGGGAAATATATTTTTCATCTAGAAATGTAAATATAATCGTATAATTAGCATCAAACCCAAATTATATAAAATTTATTAATTCCAAGGCATTACCAGGAATTATGTGCATTTACGTTAGACTCCTTAAAGAAGAATTATACTTAATTAAATGAAGATAACTAATTGCGTAAATAATTACTTGACTTCATATTCAATATATGAAAGTACTTCTTTCATAAAATTTAAAACGAAAACACTCAAGTGTACGTTAGTTGAGCATAAAATTTGCGTCATAACTTACACAAATTTAATTTTTATTTGTAAATTTATTTTCTGGTGCCATTATTTATTTCCGTCATTAAGTTAAGCGACGAAGAAGCCATAATTCTATTTTATTCATCGTTCTTCTGGAACTTTACTTAAAAGTAGATGGAATGCGGAATTCAATTATATCGGACGCTTTTTGTATTTCTTTGACATTCATTGCTCATTTTCTGTTAAAAAGTACACTGAGAATCTTACGACTGGTCATAACAATAACAAGAAAGGTTTGAACTGAAGGAGTAAGATACTTTCATGGGAGTTTAATGTTTTAGTTCCTCACTAGTATATCCTTGACTCATACTTAATTTTAGGGGTTTTAGTATAAGCACTCTTGCTCTGTTGCTTAAGCTTCAATGAGTCTATTCTTGTAATTGATTGTAAAAAGTAATACATAAGTTTTATTCAATCTAGCGAATAATACGTTATAATATCCAGATGCATAGTAGAAAATAAATATAGATCAAAATAAAAACAGATTTTTTCTGAAAAAAACTCTGAAAACTGTGGATTTTTGACAGAATAAAGGATAACGCATTAGCTTCCGAAGCCAATGATTGTAGGTTCGAATCCTGTTGTAGTCAAAATTTCTTTTTACCAATCACATCGCTTATTAAGTAACAAAGATGGAATATTTGTTAATGATCGCCTGCAGCTTTAAGTATTTTAACGAAATATAAACATTAATTTTTCAGGCCCGGATAGCTCAGTCGGTAGAGCATTGGACTTTTAATCCAAGGGTCCAGGGTTCAAGTCCCTGTTCGGGCGTTCTTTTTTGATTTTTTGTTCTAATCCCACTCACAATGATCGATATCAGGTATTCATCGTATTTTTTTTTGCATATCAAGCGCTGTTTTTTATCTCCGAGTTTCCCATATTATTTCTTAGTTAATTTTAGATATCATAAAAAGATTCACTAATAACGTGTTAGTAAGAGCCGCCATGGTTGAAGTAAAAAATAATCGACTTCGTTTAGCACAGTAGGCCGGTCTGCAAGCTACTAAAAACTTGTTTTGATGAAAATTTGATATTAATCACTATGAGTAGGATCAGGAAAAAAAAAGAAAAAAAGAAAGGCCCAAGAAGGGACTCGAACCCTCGACACTGTGATTAAGAGTCACATGCTCTACCAACTGAGCTACCCGGGCTTGAAAAAATATTGTTTATAATTCATTAAAATACTAAAAGCTGTAGGCAATCATTAACAAATATTTTATCTTTATTACTCCTACTTTTCTATCACTGCCGAACCTATAGAGATAACCTAAGTAATGATAACTAATCACTGGTCATTATAGAAGATCGGGTATTTGCGGCAACAGTCACTAGGCTCTAGTTTAGTATTGGTCTTATTAGTAATTGGTAACAAATTATCTTAGCTCTTTTGCCCAGGTATTTATTGTAGAAGATGGCTCTGTTGGCTTTAAATGCTTTTATCGCCATTTCCAGCTATATTTCAACATGTTTGTTACCTTTTACTAGTATACAAGATACTTCCCTACATCTTTTCTTTGTATGCATAACTTCTTATTCTCCAATGATCCATCATCATTGATTGGGTTCACTTCAACCTTGAACTGTTTCATGGAAACTTCAGATGATTTAGGAAGATGATTCCAACTCTTATGGCTAATCATACTTTCTGACTTATCCGGATTTATTTATAAATTCCAGATCCTGTAGATTCGATCAACCTCATGGAATAAATCAGTCAGCCCATCTACAATTATTTTTGCATTGCGGTTTGCGCTGTATATTATAAGGTCATCCGCATAAGCTACAGATTTGGCGTGCTCTTTTTGGTTCAGTTTGAAAGCATCTAGGCAGCATTTTACCAATCATATGAGTTTGAGTAAAGTATACATTTAATTTTTGCCAAGTTAATGTAAGATATTTTTTCACAACGTCCACATAAGACCGTTGCAAAATAACTCTAGGCAGATCATAGATTGACATACCTTGGTTGGTTACATGTAATAAATCGGTTTGAATGTTTTCACTCGTCTAATTTCAGCATATTTTTATATTATCGATCTGCCTTCAATTCGTTTCTATACCATGTTATTTCATTTTATCCAAAAAAGATATGATGTCTAAAGTATATGTTTACCGAAAATAATTATGTTAAATATTTACCTTAGAAAGAACCAATCAGATTAGAAAACATGTTTATTATCACACATTTTTATTGAAAATTCTTCATGATGGTGTAATTAGATTTAATGAACAAGCACCTCATAATCACGAAAGAATTATTCACATGCATACTTAGTAAGAACCATGTTGCTTCCCTCTGTATATCAGTCACTCAACTTTGATACAGTATTCTGTCAAGAAGTTATTTTCCGTCATTTGCCACATGGAGACGCTGAACTGTCTACAATTACTTTCTGTTTGAATGAAAACTCTATAGATGTCACTAATAATAATTTTCAAACTTTATACTCGTAAAATATTTTTTGTGACGTCAACTGATCAAGTTGTAGACCCGCTCCCCCCATTTACCAGGCCCGAGAGTGGTAGCGGAGTGGGAGTAAAGAAGATAAAGCGTTTGTCAAGTGTAGTCCGTAGCCTTCAGTACTTGAAAGAATAGTGGAGGTTCACTTTTCATGCCCGGATAGCTCAGTCGGTAGAGCATTGGACTTTTAATCCAAGGGTCCAGGGTTCAAGTCCCTGTTCGGGCGTTCTTTTTTGTTCGTCTAAAGCAAAAATAATTCATAATAAAGAACTAAATGTTTTTTTATATTTTCTACTTTTACTTTTTACAGGATAAATTATATTACAATAAATGTATATATCTAAGATTTAGTTAAAACAAAGTCTTACAGTCCTAGGAAATTTTAAACAAATAAATATTTCTGGATCAATATGGATTAATTTAATCTAATGTAGATTCAAGCTGAATTTTAATTACATTAATCAATGTTAATTAATTTTTGGTTACACTAAAAAATTAAAATGTTTTTTTCTTAACTTTGTTGTCATGTAGTTTTTCTTTTATATCTATAACAGATTACTTTACGCTAAAAGCCGGCTTTCTAATTTTACAAATCCAATGTTACTTTTTATAACTCTATTAAACAATATCAACACTAGTTGAATGATTTTGAAGTGCATCAGGTGATTAGAAATTTTCCTGAATGTATAAAATGTTTAATAACCGGTAAAGTCAATCAACAATAAAAACCATTCCACACTGTGTTCAACATGATCATTGAATATCAAATTCTTTTAATATTTTATCAATAATAATACCTTGGAAATGTGTTTAAAGCAGCTTTCGAGCCGATTATAATGAACCAAAATGAATGATCAAACTGCAAAAATGAGTGTGACTAGTTTAGCGGCTCGTTTGATAGCGTGAGTAATTACGAGCGATTTTATACATTGATGGTGCTACATGTTTGAGTGAGAGCATGCGTGTACTTCACTGATTTAATCCAGTCGGAGTGTGACGATAAAATAACGCGAAATTGCGCCCACGTATGGTAAAGAGCAGCAGAGAGGGAAGGATAGAAATTAGAGTGTCTATACACATACAAGCACAGAAGTTGCATTACTCGGGTGAGAAGTTAGAAGAGGAGTTCGTCCGGTAGTGCATAATTATATGTGGTAGATTAGTCTGCATCCAGACACATGAGGTGGTTGAAGAACGGGTAGTTGTAATTACATGGAATCTAAAATGAAATTGCTTTGAATGAGATCAAAATATTTCTAGTGGAGAAGAATTTATTATTAATTAATATTTGTATTAAATTTAAAAAAAATAGTAGACCATCTTTTAACGATGTGTGTTCACAAAATAAGGGAGATTTGAATAAAGATTAAGGAAATTACGATTTATTAGCCATCTATGAGGAAGTTATTGTAATGGAGTCAATTTTTGAAGTTTATGTATTCAAAAGAATTAATTAATTGAATGATTATTGCTAATGATTATATTCGACCAATATTTATAAAATATTGCTATAAAAAATTTTATGCAATTAAACAATTGTATATTATTTATAAAAATATTAATTGATTTATTTATTAAAAACTATGCGGATGGGTATCATTAATGTTTTTGTTTTAAAATGATAAATGATTTTCGAACGATAATTAAAAAGAGAAACTGAATAATTATGTGAATTTTATAAATTTTTAGCCACTTTGCTTCATCTTATTCACAAAAATAAAACTTTTTCTGCCGCAGAAATGACAATTGGATAAATGTCGACAATCCCAGTGCTAGAAAATAAGTGCTCAAGGGCATCATTAAGGGCATATTTTCTCCATCACTTTTTATATTAAACGTAAAGCAACAATAGTTTATTTTTTTGTTATTATTATTATTCATTATTATTCATTTAAAATTTTTTTTTTACTTGCTTTCAAGCTAAAGGCATTAAATAATTATATACGATTCTTTTTATCTTTTAATTAATCTTTGTTTCGAGCTACAGGTGAGTCTTTTCAACAGCCTGACCAAACTTATTTCTACAACTCTCGTTCAACTATTATATTTCGTATGCTTTTAAAAAATTATTTTCCCCAGTATAAATTTCAATATTAAATATTCCACCACATATGAATACAATCGTTGAATGGAATTTTTTTATTTACGAGTGTTCTGCATATATGAGTAATTCTTATCTTTACTATAGCAAGTTGAAACTCAATGAGATTTTGTACGACCATTTTTAGAAATAATAAAACTCTTTTGCTTCCACTCTCTTGAGTCATCTTATGAGTCTCTTGGCGTACGGAGTAACTTTAAGTGTCAGATATACTTGCCTTAGGTGCTCGCATATAAACGTTGTTTTACAAGTGTGAGTGCTTATAGATATGCTTTGTGTGTTCAAAATTCATGGCACCGTATTCAATATATTGCACTTACTCTTGGTGAGTCAGGTCCATAGTGAAAATCCTTTAGTGCTGGAATGGATGAAAGCAGAAAGGAGATGGAGAGAAGATGCAGTTGTGTGTATAAGTAAGAGTAAACGATCTATACTCAACGTAGATACAGCTGGTGTATGATCAGGGTTTGCCCCTAGACTCATAGTACTACTATTAGGTAGGCAGACTATCTGACCGAGATGGTCATGCATGTAAGCCGTTAGTGCCAATATAATACTGACCAGTAGTATCACCGGCCAATGTTATAGAGAGTTGAGGGAAACGTTGACTCGAGGCAACTAAACATGTGGAACTGAATGTCGTTTGAAGATTTCGTATATTGTAAGGAAGAGAATAATAATTGCTGTGTTGTTTAAGATCGGTATTAAGATAGGTTACATTGAAGATGTTTATGAGGGAACATGTGTTCGAATTTATGGAGCATTTAGAAACCTTTGAATAGGATTCATTAAATAATGAAATTTGCAATAAGGGAAAATTGGAAATTTCTAAGCATACACCTGTGTGTTAGATACAGGTATTGGTTGGTTTTATTATCATTTTATGCTAAGTATTGAATTTTCATGAAGAATATTTTGTAGCTACCTTTAACTATCACAGCTTTCATTTACTTCATATAATAATGCTTTAATTAGAAACATAAATAATAGTAAAAGTATTTTTCTGTTCATTAATATGTTCAGGAAATGTTTTTTGTTTAAATACTTTTGTAAATAATTTATAGTTTTAAAAAAAGCTTGAATTATTTTAAGAAGCTTTAAATATTTTTTTAAAAAGCTGTTATTTATTTTCATGTAATTCGTTATCAGTGAAGTTTGTTTACTAGCCACGTCGTAAATTTATTTATTCTGTTTCATTAAAGGTATTGAAAAAGGAGATTTTTCAGTTCAATCAATTATAGAATTGGAGATTTTGTGGTAGTAAATTATAATGACAAATATTTTCTTGAAACAGTGATCGAAATCGCGAATAATGAATTTAAAACCTGACCAATAATGATGAATGTGCATTATTGGAAATAGCCAGAAAAAGATGACAATGACATGTGCAAGATTGACTTTCTCATGATGGTAAATAAGTACATTAAAATGTTATAGGTAAATCGAAGGAAGAATCGTTGAGTAATACAAAAATCCTTTTTAATAGTTACTTTTCATTATCGAATTTTCGAAATCTTTTTATTCAAACAAACAAGGTTTTTTTTTATTACTCAGAGTAAATATTGGATGTATCTTGACAGTAAATCAAATAAAGAGTTTAAATTTTTCGCCATTGTTATCACTAAGGAAATATCTGGAGAATGAAAAAGGATGAAATGGTGACCACAGAAACTAAGAGTTTATCGTTTGTGAATGGTTGAAAGAAGACGAGACTGTGGAGAAAGGAAAATAGAATAGTGTGAGGAATATAAAATATTTGTAGATGTGCAAAGTAGTTTACATTTCTACTTTTGAAACATACGAATGAGATATAGCAGACGAAAGATGAAAAATTTTTACAATCGCAATATACGGGCTATCTTTCTTTAGCATGAATACTAGGTTTCAAACTTTCCTAGCTAAAGTTTACTTTACACTTTTTCCTATTGTTTTTTATGAACTTTTAAATTTTCGAATGACAAAGAATAGCTAGACCAATTTTATTGAGTTTATTTTCATGTACGCATTGAATGATTGGTATAATTTTTCGAAAAATTGCTGTTGAAAATTTGATGGGAGGAGGTATGAAGAGTTTATAGTTAGAGAGAAATAAGATAAGGAGACTTACCAAAGTGGATATCAGTAAGAATATAAGAGAAAAAAATATTCTGACAGAATGGAAAAAGAGTGAATCTGCAGCAGCACGAATGAGAGAAGATGGAGGGGATAAAAAAAAAATAAGTAGCAGAGACCTTACATTTCCCATGGGATATTTCCAGTGATACGAGCGGTACTGCAGACTCCTCACTTACGGATTGATACTCAATTCCCGTCGAATTTAGTCCTCTAGTGTAGGATCATTGAACGAGATCGCAGAGACGTTCTCGATTTCGTATAAATTCGATAATACCAAGAGCTTCTCAACGATATCAGGCGAGAACAAGTCATCGAGTCTTTTCGTCTCTTGGTCGATGGATAAAAAGATTTGGTTTCTTATCCTTGCTCACCTTGAATGCATATAAACCTGCACTGGGCAATAAAACTGCTCGCGAATCCTTGGGGATATTTATCAAATTCAAATGAACTTTTTCTTTCTTTTTTATCAACAAAGCTTCATTTATAAACATCATATTTATTTAATATCACTGGAAAATCGTTGGATCAAATTATCTCAAGGTAGTTGGGTGTCCACATTTTTTATTTATTTTTTTAAGATCCATCACCCAACTTTCTACATTGTCTATATGATTTGTATTGATAATGTTGAAGTTGAATGCAGAAGCTATTAATGAGAAGTAAAACCAAAACTTTAATTAATATTAATTTCCAAATAGAAAAAAGCTATATTCAAAAATTCGTACAATGAACCAATAAAAATTCCGGAAACTAAAAAAAATCATATCACGAATCAATGATTAGATATGTTTTTTATAGTTCGATTATTTTAAAATTGGACTTGAAATGTATTGAAGCTATTTCTATACTCGTCGATAATGCGGAGTTTTAAAAAGAAAAGAAGGAAACTGTTATCATCGAAAAAAAAAAAAAAGAATTCATACAAATACGTGTTATCTACAGTTTACCTGACTGTATAAAATAAGCAGAATGGAAAAAAAGTTAATAGAATGATTTCTTATTTTCGTGTTTAGTTTTATTTTATATTCAGAAAACCAAATTACTTGTAGTACGGTAAAATGAGAAGAATAGTAGCAAGAGTAATAATTTTTATTTCGTAAATAAATCCCAAGAAAAACGGAGGTAAAGAAGGTTTAAGAGGAAAGTAACAACATTGGCAATTACACGAAATTATATTAACCACTTCTCTCCTTGGATCTCTTTTTGGATTCGCGAGCGAGACGCTTTGGCTTGGTACATCTTGCCTTCTCTTCTTACCCAGACATGGAAAATAGCAAGTCTGACGGCATGGCCTGTTATTCGACGTGGTAACTCAAGCGAAACTAATTTTAAGCCACAAGACAGCAGTCAGCTTTAATAGCTGTCGAAAAGTTACGGCAGTCCTGTTAGGTAAGATGCTCTAAAGTATTTCTATTTTTTAATATTTTATTCAATCTATTCTATTCATTGTGAATATATATTTTTTTCTCTAAAATACACGTTTACATCTAGACATATATATTTTTCAGGTTGGATCCATGAAAGCAGCACACTGAGGTCAAGTATTTTGAGCTTAAGTAATAATTCATTGGGTCAGGTGTTTAATAGAAATCTGGGTCATATAAAATGTCACAACTTACCGCGCTAAATTCCATGACTTTGAGGAGCCAAAGTGTAATGGCAAAGTTGAGACTAACCATGATGGTCAGGCCTAAGATTAACATACAGAGACATATTTTTCGCCATCCATTAACTCCAAATTTATAACCATTGCAGGTGGGTTGATTTTGCTCATCCTGTTGAGGTGTACATGTTCTTGATGGACTTGATTGAACTGGTCTACTTGGTCTAGATTGTCTGGATATACTGTTGGTATCCTCAGGCTCTTCAGACCAATTCGTTTGGCCTCGAGGCATCCTGGAATATAAAAATACCACATTTGTATTATTAAATAAAAATATTTCATGAAATAGTGATTGATGGTGGTGGGATAATTGAGATTGAGATTCAGTTCCGGTTGTCCGTCACGTCTGGGTCATGCATAGAGAACGTGACTCTCAATCCATTCACAAGCACGTATGGCACTGCAAGGAGCTAACGAGATACAGGGAAATGTGAACTCTTGATCACCATCCTAGTGGAGTGTACCAACCATCTCTTATTTGCAAATTAGCATTTGAGTAATCAGTGTTAAGTATGAAAGTCGATGAGTAGGTTACAGGGTAGGTAGATGAATTAACGTGTTGTCTTCAGTGTAAAATATATAGTGATTCAGAGTAAAAAGATATGAATAGAAAAGAAACAAAACTTATGCAAAGTTGGCCACGAAATATCTTACATAACTTTCCTTCTAATCCCTGGTCATAGCCTGAAGGCTTCGATTCAACCAACTGACGCTCCTTTTCTCTTATTTCTCTTTCGTCGTTGCTTCATTCTCTATGCTACGTTACATTCATTTGCTATATTTTTGCAGCAGCCAACCAAGCTATAATATTCAATGCAGCTTGTTCTCTTGCGGGTAATTATACGTTACGCAGGATACAAAGCTTGCCGAGTGAAGATGAGAGAAATATAAAATAGAAGCGGGTACGAAGGGAGTTGGTACATTGATGAGAAACGCCAAGAAAATGATAAAAGGGATGTCGGGCTTAAAAATAAATTTATTAAAGATGAACTTTCTAGTCAAAGGGAAGAATATTGGTCTTGAAATTGTTTGTGATGAAGGGAATTGTCTGGTTAATATTTAATTAATTAATCAAAGGTTACATGAGGATATTTTTATTTTTAATTCAATCTCTTGTAACTGGAATTCACTTTAAGACACTCAGAATCATTTTCCTTGATAATAAAACCTTGTCTAAGGATGGAACTTTTTCAAGAACAAAGTTGCTTAAAATAGTTATTTTCGATGGTGAAATTCTGTTTAAATTATTAATAATTATTTGAGCTGTGTTTAAAAACAGTGGTGGTTGTTCATCTGACTCTAATGGATGTAAGTGTAAGCTTGGTAAAAAAAGTTGAGATGAAATATTTTATTTATAAACTAAAGACATTAGCAGACTCTTTAATTTATTCAAATGACATTTGAATGGATGAATATTTTAATGTGAGTTTCAATTATCTAGTAATTTTAATCGAAATAGAGTATGTAATTGGTGAAATAATGTAAGAATAATGTGAGATATGTAGGGTAGTCGTTTTCAAATTACCCAAACTTGTTAGGAACTCGTTTGCTAGCATGTCTCATACTTCACTTGGTGAAATTTAACTCGCAACATGGCCCTGTTATCTTTCTTCCTTGCTCTTTTGTGTGTTTCTGTATCTTGTATTTCACGTTAAGAATACGTCTTTTTCAAAGTACTTACTACTCACATTCTCGTGTAACAACTCATTCGACCCTAGTAATATCATCTTTCATTCTGACCATTAGAGTTGAATTGTCGCTGCGAAAATTGAGAACATTAATTAGTTCCCTCAGGTTCAAATGATCGTTATAGTATGAAACAGAGATATAAGTAAACTCTTGATTAATTGTGGAAAAAAAAAACAAGCTTAACGTGGGACTGAAATATTCAAATGTTTAGTGGTATGTTTTACACTAATGATCCAAAGTATTTATAGCTAAAGAAGCTCAACTTTTTGTTGTTAACAACAATATAGAACGAGTAATTAATATATAAATGTAAATAATAATATTTTAAATGTTAATTGAATAAGCTTGTTTATTGTTTTTTATCAATCAATTACTCTAAACCTTTGATAAATACCTCAGCAATATTCATGTATGTATAGAGGAGTGGATGTTAATATTTGATCAGTTGCAAATATTGATAAATATCTTCTCGACTTCATGGAGAAAATTGTGAAAATTATTCGAAGGATTTGATTAAACAAACAAGTGGAGGAAAATAGAAAATGATTGAACTTGAAGGAAATGCTTATTTTCAAATTATTTTATTATTCTCCATTTTTTTTTTATCAAAGTGAAAAGCTCAAAAGTTTTACACATTCCAGAATAAATTCTATCATGATCAATTGAAAATATTGTGCTATGTAGAACTATGCTATATATTTTTTAACTTATCAGAACCATTTTGTTTTATTTAATGTTATTATTTTTTTTATCTCACTGATGTTTATTATCACCTAGTTTTAATATTTATTTATTAATCTCTGTTATTTGGACTACTTTTAGCTTTGATATGGTCCATAATGTCAGCTGATCTAGGTCTGTCTAATTATAATTATCCAGAATAAACAATAAGTTTCATTAAATTTACATGTCTCTTTAATAGACAAAACATTTAATTATCATAATTAAATTCTTATTGTGAGAATGTCTTTGAAAAATGTAATTATATTGATTTTTGAGCCATGAAAAAATTATTCGACCAGTGTAGTATCTGTAAATCTTTACATTTTGATGCTTATTTCATCGTGATAAAATATCAAGTGTAGCCATGTGTGGTGGTAGGTCGTACAAGCTTTCAGTATCTGGTCAAGGGTCAGCGAATGAAAGAATAGTGTGATGGGTTGAGAAGGAAAGTCGTGCTAGAGCAGGGTTTGTTGGGGAAGGGTAGCTCGAGTTACGGTCGAAACGAACGCTTTGCCACCACAGAGACCACATAGAGTCCCCGAAGTAGTCAGAGGATGGTGTGTCGGTGGGGTTCTGCTCCGTCCACTAAATATTTCAGGGGCTGCAAGGCTTCGATCCCCACTGGAAGGCTACCGAGACACACGAGCCAACAGATTAGTACCACTTGCGACCAACCTCTTTCACATCTCTATGCCAAGCACGCAAGTCGATATACACCCCAGCAGAGCAAACTGTCTCTCGTTACAACACGCCAAGGGTTTTTTTAATCCGTCATTCTCATACAAAAATTTATCATTGTCTCTTTAGTTATAAAAATGAGCTAACACTAGATACTTCACTGATCAACTATTTTGCAAGTATTATTACAATTTTTCTGTGAAATACTGAATTAATAGAGGCAGTTTTAATTGAAGAGTAATTTTCTTTTGATTGAAGTCAAATTTACTGAAGACTCCTAGATAAAATGATACCAGAGCATTGATGCTCCAGATGAAGATCAGTCGTTTATGCCAAAATATTTTCTGTTTTCCTCAGGCATATTGAGCCAACTTATTGGCATCAGAGTTGAGGTCAAACATGAGTGTTTTATCTGAAATCTACCGAGTATTTTAAAAAATTAAATCAATCCAACTTGCTGATTCTACTTTTTTAAAACAAGCTTCTAGAACTTCATGAACTCTTATGATATATTTATCAGTTATTTTATAAAAATGTATAATTTCTAGATTAATTAATGTTTCTCAACAGATCATTCACTCATCTCCATCAAAAGTATTGGAAAAAATCCATCACAAGTCACAAGTTTAATTGATAAATAGAATACTGGGAATGTTTAGAAAGCTTCAACAACATACTCTGAGGTTAATTATTTTCTATAGGGCAGTTGCAGTTGCCACACAGAGCTTATCGGTTGGTTAAGCGAATACCGCAACTCTGTGGTTCTCTTGTAGGGATTGGTTAGATGGGGGCATCGTAGTACTATAGATATAGAGAGATGGAGGGTCGTTAGGGTGCATTGGTGGTTGAAGTAGGTGTGCCAAAGGGGCTGTAAGCCAAACATAATTTAACTGGAATCGTCACTAATGGAGTCATTCGTCATAACATAAACGATTCTAAAATCCACCATTGAGAATAGTCTCAATGGACAATGTTAATTAAGGTGCGATTTCCTCAGTAAATTTCTTTGATGGAGAACTTATAAATTGACTTGATAGAAATAAGGAAAAAGAGAAAAAAGGTGATAAATAAGTGGTAGAAAATAGAAAAATGTGCCAATTCAAAATATAGTGAACCTTTCAGTGAAAAAGATACCACTTGAGGAATCATAAGACTATTCAGGATTTATTGAGGTATTCTGGTGTTCGATATTTCCCCCGAGGACTCATCAAAAAGGGTAGAGAGGTCTCTGGTTATTGATATATGCTATGATTCAATCAAGAAAAGCAAATTGTACCTCTATCTGGTCTAGTGTATGGAAATGGTTAGAGTATTTCACCTTAATCCATTAGGATTCTCATTTTATGACTTTATTTTTTACGATTATCTTGAAAAAATTTCAATACCAATGAAAAGAGGAAGCCAAAAATAATAAAGATATTGTTTTATAGATTTAATTTCCATAACCAGATATGATGTTCTTGAAACAACACTTTTTTTATTCAAGTCAAGACTGTCAATACTGATCAGAAAAATCTATAAAAAGGTCTTTGGGGTGTAATAAAAATGTATATTTATTATTTTATTGCTACTGTTATATTTTTTCAAGCCATTTGATGTCTCTTGGACGACAAGAGTCATGGGAATTTCGATGAAAATACCAGTGGGAATGTCTGTACATTTATGTCATTAGAATCATTGTTTGGTTACATGTATGTTGTACAGTTTAATCCTGTGTGCATAGATAGAGAATGCAAGTCCATAAATAATTTCATTTTGGCACAGATAAACGTACCAACACGTGTATGTGAGTTCATAAATATTTTAAATTTAAAATCCAATATCAGAGAAGGTGTTGTATATTGGGTTGAATTTTTCAATTATATTATTTTTTGTTGTCAAAAAAAACATCTATTATACAGCATGAGGATTATTAGTTATTTGTTATCAATTAATTGTAATACTTTTGTTAATTCATCCTTTGTAAACGAGGATCTTGTTTAAGTTGCTCAACATGTTCCTTTAACTACTTTATACTTTACTAAATCCAAGTCTCCTATATTGTGGATGCTTACCAGAATTGATTGTAAAGACGTTCAAGTTTTTTCCTGTTACATGTAACTTCATAAACTCGATCGAATAAATCGAATTTTCTTTCTGTAAA